GGGGGGGGAAGTACTTAAAAAACAACTTTTAAGACATATCTTTTAATATCTACCTGCAGCCTAGTACCTCTTGTCCTCCTCCTCTTTAGAGAACTGAAAACTCATGGATGATTATGTCAGATATAAAGCAACAGGCTACTATACAAATTCCTTACCATAACTGACTGCTCTTTCTGGGGAGAGGCCATTTCATTTGCACCTGCTGATAAATCTAGGTTTTGTTTTAAAACAGTCCCCAGCAGATGAACTCGTATGCTAGCCAACTGCACCACCTAGCTTCGCTCTGAAGGATTGTTCAGAACCCTATTTTTCATGACACCAGTGTTTAAATTCCTTCAAGGTACATACTTCTTCCAGTATCACCCCTACCCATCTGGTGTCTCACCACTGATATTACAAATAATTCAACAGCTTTGACGTGTTCAGAGTTCAAGAAACCTGGCACCTAAAAAAATTTAGTATAGGTGTACATAGGATTGTAACAGAGCTACTTTATTCACTTCTATTCTTCAACTTTACGCAGACTGGTGTGACCTTTCAACCCACAGATACTTCCTATAACTCTTTGTGTCCACATTTACCAAAGCCTGACAGCATCTGTTATTGGTTTGATTCATTACTGAGTGGACCACCATCAATTAAAACAAACCTCAATACATACAAGCTCCACCACTTACTGATTTTACATCTGGCAATTTAAAGTCTCCCTTGGTCCCATTTCCAACAATATTTCTAGGAGTGTTAAAACAGGGTGCCTGTTATCTCTGACTTCAATCAAAATTGTCCCGACTTTTTAATTAAAACTGTTACGATTTCAATTCTGACAAAAGCACGTTTTCTGCAGTTTTTGAACTTAAGTACTAGAAAACAAAATAGCAGACTCTGCGTACCTCCCTTGGGTACATGCACAATGGCATGGTTTTTAATCACTTTCTGACCTCATCGAGCTTCAACGCGCTAAAGAGGAATGAAAGCAGAAGGGAGTAGCTAAGCTATACCTCAACATCAGGCTAAAGAGCAATATAAACATGGCTACTGCAGTCCTCTAATGTCCAGGCTGGGTCATGGTCCTTTGTAACTTATTTGCACAGTGCCTCAGAAGACAGAGGACCCAGAGAAATTCACACATGCTATCTATGCTACATATACATTAATTAGTTCAATTCAACTGATGTAGGTAACCAGGAAAATAAGCTAGAGCATCAGTTCATGAGTCTCTTGGAAGCTTCACAGCCTGTTTGTAAGGTGCCCTGTGGCCCTTTTCTCTTTTCTCTCCCTCCTAGATTGGTACTTCTTACAAAGTCCCTAGGCTTGTCCTAGAATGAGAGGTATAACCCTCTTTTGTACAAAAGCTGTGGATAGAGCACAGTCATTCTCTTACAGCGATGACACGTCACTCTAATAAGCTTTTAGGGCACATTAAAACTTAGTGGCTAAGTTGCTGAAAGCGGCAGCCACTGAAATGCTACCCTTGACAAGTTGCAAGACAGATTTCTTCACTACTAACTGCCCTTAAACTAATACAAAAAGCAGGAGTACGAAAAGAATGCCTTAAACTGAACAGAGCCATGAAAACAATCAAAAAAAAGGAAGGCTTGTACTTTTATTTTGACAAGGATGCACTATAAGCTAAAAGTCACAGCCAGCTTGTCAGCCGACAGTGAGTTGGTACCCTTTTCCGCACAGCTTGCTTTTAAAAAGATTAAGATGTTTTACAAGAGCGCAAGATACTCAATCTGTTTTACACGTGTCACACAACTTCACTCTCAGTTTCTGCTAGCAGCCAGAACATCCTCATATAGGAGCAATTTTGGCAACTGTGTTTAGCTCCTTAATCTTATTTGATTGCTCCTAGGCTTCGCCAGATATTCCCTGTAGATAGAACAAAGTGGTATACTATTTAAGAGCCTCGGGCTACAACCTTTGGTCATACATCAACAGTACCAAATGCAATATGCCCACTCACACAGGCAAAGCTACAAGATCAGGCTGTGAATTTCAGAGCTGTGCATCATACAACACAAGGCAAAAAATAGTAATTTCACACCGACATGGTATGGAATCAGCTTTAAAACCACTTCTGGACTTGACATGAATAAAAATACAGCCTCCTTTCTGAACTGCCTGATTCAGTTATGTGCCATGGGGTTTAGTATTTTCAAGACTCTTTATTCTCTAACGTGATGCAAGGTACTCCCTCAGTCTGCTTCCCTGAGAATTGTCTTTAAACCCAGACTTATACTTTCATTTTAGGTGACACTCTTTCAACATCTGCCAAAAGAATCACAACAACAAATAAAGTTTTTAATCCAGAGCAGCTTCACCTACTTTCTGCACTGTGCTACCTGTTAAAAGATGCAACAAAGATAGCAGCAAGATAGCAGCAATGATGGCTGAAAGCAGGGGAGGAAACAGCGCAGCTAAGTGTGAGTAGAATGATGTAGAGCAACAGGAGACAAACTGCTATTACTCAGATAGTAAAAGCTGCGACAGAACACATTTAGAAAGCGGCTGCTCTGCAACAATCACTTCAGCTCCACAGGAAAAAAAATAGAAAAGAAAAAAGAAAAAAAAATTGAGTCGCTGCAGAAACCACTCTAATTCACTTTAAAGACAAAGCACCTAGGGGTAACTATGAACTGATCCAACCACAACCCAGAGAACTTGGCCTGCCAGGTGTGAGCTATGATTTCATTTTGACAATAGCCAGCATCAGGCATTTAAAATGGAAGCTGCAAAAAATACCACAGTAGAAATTTAAGCCACAAGCACTAGAGGAAATGTCTTTGTAGATGTTGTGATGGTGGAGCGGAAATTATACTAGTTCAATAATGGCCAAAAAAAAAAAGCAAAAAGGCAAATATTGGAAGAAACAGTTACAAGAAATAAGCAATACAAAATATTTAACAAACTAAATATTTAACATTAACAAAAAAATATTTAACAAACTTTCTTTAGTTCCTAGAGAAAGGAACTAAATTCTGCCTGTGGCAAAACAGCTTGCCACCTTTACCTTATTTTCAGAAATCTGTTCCTGAGAAGGCCAGCACACCTCAGCATTTTCTCACATGAGCCACTGGCAAAGCTCTTACCTACTGTCTTGAAGAACATGACTGGAGCTGCCCTGAATCAGCACTGCTCAGATAAGCTTGGCTCATCTACGAACAAACTTTGCAAACCTGTGGCTGTCATCCATAACCCTGTTTCTGTTCCCTTCCTCCTCACGCTCGTGCTTATGGACAACTGTCTAGCTTGCAAGAACTTAATCTACTCTACAGCAGAGTAAATAGACTCCTGGCTGACAGCCTCTAAACTGGGATTTTTACTGTTGCACAGAAGATGGTGATGGGCCATTTGTCCCATTTGTCGTCATAGGTACAAGGATTCTGTGAATTGTGTGCTGTTGCTGCCCTGGTATCTTTCAAATAGATTCACCTCCTTGCCCTTCTGCTTTAGTTATCACCTCAGGTATAATCATATTCAGTCATTATGAAGAATCCTGGTACAGAGCTGCAGCACTGGAGCTCTTCCACAGACTGGCTACCAAGATAACTCTCTCTTTGGAGACCCCAGGTGATACGAAGAGCAGAGCGAAAACAAAGAATGCCAATACGCAGGGTCAGGAAACTGGAATGTCCTTAATGGCTCAAAAGAGCACTTTTCCAAAACATTCGAAGTGATGGTTTTACAGACATACCATGAAACCAGAGCAGAGGATTCTGTGGGAAGAACTATCAGAAAATTCATTGCTGCACAGTGAAATAACCATACAGACACTTTGCATGAGTTTAACTGAGGTAATGTCTGGCCATAAAGACACCATTATCTCCGCTGGATGAAACCTAGCAAAATTTGTATAGATGACAATGCAGAAAATAAAAGGAGTTTACCTGAGAAAACAAGGTCACTTTCCTCTGAGTGTCAAGAGTGGAATATTTTATTGTAGACATTCAGCCAGACTCACTCGATTTATACTGATTGATTGAAAGTTACAATTCAGAAACATGTATTATTATGGTATTACCAAGAAACAGTTGTTCATTTTGTACGAAAAAGGCAATGACAGCACACTGAAGAAGGGATGAAAACGCATGTACTTTTATTTAGAAATAAAGTATTTCTGCAAACGACTTTACACAGCTGAACAAGATTAATGTGCATCACATTGTTCTGTGTTCCTTCACTCAAAATAACCTCTTTAGTAATTCAATTATTAAAACATTTAAATCTACTATAGATATAAAATATATTATGTGAAGCTCCTTGCAGACTGTGGCATAGACAAGTTGCAGTATTGCTGTTTACGGAAAAAGCATTTACTTCAGTTTTACAGAACATCTGTTATTGTTGCTGAATGACAGAAGTCCAAAGGATGAGCAGCAGCAACTACTGGTTGACTGTCTTGTAAAGGTGGTCTCAGAAATCACTAGAAAGTGCTGATACACTGCGGCCACTGATCACACAATTAGAGAGATCAGAGGTAAGCTGTTTGGGGTTTTTTTTAAAATCATAATTTAAAAACCAGCATAATTATCTCCTTACAGATGAACTTTTGATGTTTCAGGGGCTTCCAGAAAAGTCCCCTAGATCTGTTCTCTAGCCACTACTCATCCCTGATAAGGTCTTTCCTGAGTTCAGATGCTAACAGCAATCCTGAATGCACATCCATGAAGTTACATACAACTTCATGAGAAAAGGAGAGAAAGCAGAAAATACAAAGAGGAAAGGAAAACAGAGTATAAGAGAACAGTAAATTCTCAGCTTATTAGAACCAAAAAGATCACACTGAGTAACTGTCCACGCTGTCAACATGGATTTGTGCTAGTTTTGTCAGCATTTAAATCATTAAAGCAGAGACATGTGAAACAAGCAAAATCACTTGAACCTTGTTTTAAAAAACTTGCTAAAATATCTGCTAAAATGAAACTAACTGTATGAAGTCTGATTGCCATGAAAACATTGACAAATCATGGAAGAAGAAGAAAGTAGTTTCAAGGGTACTTAAAAGCATCTCAATACATTATCAGCTCCTGTGCTTCTTCACACAAGCTTAGGGACATTTTTAACTACCTGGACACGAGGTATGAATGGGCACAGCAGAAACTACCTTTTGTAAGAACTGGGCCCACATGGGCCTTGGTGCTGTGCCTGTAAGGCCAGTGCTTATTGACTTTAAATGGGCTCCGAGTGGACCAGGACCCTTTCTGATTAGTGGGCACTAGTGGGCCACATGGGACAATGTCCACATAGGTCTTCCTCTGCCACAGGGGCTACTCCTGAAGAGTGACTGATAACCAGCCTAGCAATCCTCAATTTCAAATCTGTGGGTCTGACCCAGGGAACAGCCAGGGGTCCTCAGTCATCTCATACAGGCTAGTGCTGCCCTGAAGACAGCTCTATACTTCCTGCTGGAAGCTATAGTTGCATCCCAGACCCCAAAGTGAGTCCCCAGGCTTTCCAGTTTGAAACTCGGATGGTGTGCCCCCTCATCATGTAACATATTTGCAAGCCAGGTTAAATAATCCACAGTAACAGATTTGTGATAGCACTTGCTTAGTTTGACTAGGTCTGTGCGCATGGAAGAGCATGTAGAGGCACCTATCATACCTCTAGTAGTATCATACTGCATTTTAATGACTGGTGGGATTAGAAAATTTTCAGGAATTTGACACAGCATGGTCTGAATCTGAATCAGATCAAGTATCATCCCTGTCTTCTGGGTCTCTACATAAAGAAATTCCCTTTTCTGCAGCTTCCAGACGATGGTCAATTTTCTCCCAGACAGATACTGCTACATGGGGAACTATATGTTGCTCTAGTTTCTCTACATTAGCCCTACAGCTTTTAACACAGGCAGGGACTAGAGCCTTCTCCTCTATTGCAGCCCCAGTGTCCTACTGGGTGTGGGCCAGTTCTTTTCATAGGTAGCCAACTTGGGCTTGGGCTGCTTTCAAACACTGCTAAGTATCTCTAAGGCAATGAGCTAAGAGATATAAGCAGGGTAACTCTCCCTTTCTGTTTCTGTCTTTCTGACTTTCTCTAACCAAAGTAGAATCTGACATCCATGGGCAGGGCAATGTACCAGAATAATCAACTAAGGCACTCACTACAGGGTCAGGGCTGATCATGATGCAGCATACCATATCTCACTTCCAACACCAGAGTGTAAAGGCTTATGGCAGCCCTGTCAAGTTACAGGTTCAGGATATGGTAACAGACACCAGACCAACAGCTTCAGGGATAGTTTCTCTCTAAATAACAGCACAGGAAAAAATACAGATCAGTAGTACAATTATCTGGGTCATAACAACAGCAAGTTAAATAATTCACCAAGACTGGGCTAGACCTAACAGCCGGGCAAAGACTTATATGACCATGGCTCTCAGGCAGGCAAGTGACCCAGAACAACCAAGGACCTTGGGGAATGCAAATTCCTTGGCTGGACTGTCCTTTTTATTATCGAGCCACAGAAGCACTATTTGGCTTGTTAACCAAACATTACACCCCACTTCTGCTCCCCCTCTGTTTCAGCTCTGTTCTTGGTGCACATGGGGCCTGGGAATCCTGTACCCATACCACCCCACATTTCTTTGCGGGCAGGGGCCTGGAAGTATTGTGTAAGGCAATACAAGCTTCACAGCTCTGCTGTATGCACCATCTCCAGAAATACTGTATCAGGCAACACTAGCCTTACAAGGACTCAGTTAGTTTTAGAAAGGCATAACCAACTGTTAATGTACAGAAGTCACTACATAGAATGCGAGAATGAATACACAGGGTACTCTGAACTGTGCAAATATTCTTAGCAGACATGAAAAATTACAGGCTACAAAGCAGAAAAAGCTTGGTGTAATCTAAGAATGACCACAAACAGTGCTGACAGTGAGCAGACTGCATTTATACTAGCTGCACAGTACGTTAACTACTAAGGAGAAGCCCAATAAAACAAAACAAAAGTATAGAAGAAGAAAGAAATTGAAACAAGAGGTATAGGAAGAAAGCATGAAGAACACATTGAAACATGAAGAAAGTTGTACTTTTTTTTTTTTAAAGAAATAAAAATCTTGTAATAATGCTCAAGTCAGTGAACTATTAGAGTACCATTTGGAAGCAGGCCTCTGAAAGACTGCTTCACCTTGCCAAAGCATGAGTACCTTTTAAAGGTGAAAAATAACTGAAACTGGAAACACTGCTGGACCAATCCACTCTCAAAAGTCTCATGTTCCTTTCACTTATGTATTTAAATTAGAATTTTACATTCTCCAGCTACCCAGTTGTTTGTATGAATATATCCTGTCCTCTCACACTGTGCATATAGAAGTTCAACAAATACTTATGGAATCTTCCAATATATTTGGAGACATCTATTCTCAATTTATTTCTTTTACACAAACTGCAAGATTGATTAATTAACATTACACTGGTTTCACTCATACATTTTACTGTGTTGAGAAAGCTTTAAATGTAAACTGTATATTTAAACTGTCTGCTGTGCTATTTTAAACCCACAAAACTTATATGAGGTCCATTGCTTCAAACTTAGTTTTGAACTTAACCATGTTTTTAAGTATCAACTGCACACTACTGTAAAAAAATAATTCAGTCAGAACCAGGCTGGTGAATAACGTTATGACATTTGTTAAAACAAGGAAATACTGAAACCAACATAATTCCTTCTTATTTTTCCACTGCTAGCTGCACAGCATGACTAACAACTTCAGAAGCTTGTTGCACCACCTTCTTCCCCATCTTTATATTGTAGGCACGCTGCTGGTTCTAGTGGTTACAGCTGATGTTTCCACAACCACAGCTAAAAAAAAACAACAAAAAACCCCCCAAAAACCCAAAAAAACCAAAAGGAAGAAATATTTAACACTAAGTGTACCTGTTCTTTCAGAAACTACAAAGACAAGACAGCATGGTAATGATACACTGTAAATAAACAGTTTTTCCTCTATCATAAAAACAGCAGTAATGCATGAAATAACTACCTCTATCGCATTACTTGACACACTCAATCAGTTGAGTTTTTTGCTGCCAAAGGAATACGGTCCCAAAGCTGTAGCAACTGCTCTCCAACTTGTGGTTCCAGCTCCTAGAAATGAGCAGGAAATTAGAGAAGTTAGTTGCACTGCTACTATTGAACATACAGAAACTATTTATAGCAAAATTGTTAGATGAAGTTACGGGCGATTGCTTTCAGTCTCTCTGAGAGCTCATTCCTTTTGCTACTGAGACATACATCAGAACTCCCCACACAGGAAGGTTTTTCTCTTAGGGTTCAAGAGGAGATAAACACTTTCATAAGCAACCCTGGCCTATAGGTTGGTTGGGGTTTTTTTCATTCACAGCAAGATGTCAGTTCTTAAGAGAATTCTGAGTGAACACACCACCACCATCTACAAGAACATATGCACCATATACTTTGTACCTTCCACAGGTCACTTACTTATTAACTAAAGTTCATTATTCTCCACATCTTCTAAGTTTAATTCCACCAAGTGTGGTGGACAACATGGAAAGGCAGGTCAGGTGAAACCATGGCTCTTGGTGGAATCATAGACATTAATATAAACCAGTTGTTTTTAAGATCGTTAAGACCCTTTGGGTCTTAAGAGCCATTTACAAGAGAAGCATTGTTAAGTCCATGTGCTATGTTCCTTTCCTCATCCTTAAAAATGGAGAGGTTTTGGGCAAGTAATGAGAAGATGACAGAGAAAGTTTAGCTCTAGAATCTCGTATCAAGGAAATACTTTGGGAGGGGACTGGGGAGAATGCAGAAACTGCCAGAGAGAACTCCTGCACCAATTCACTTCCAGCTTTTTGTAGGTGCATTTAGCTTTAACAGGTTGGAGAACTGTCCTAAGCTTTACTCTACTTTAAATCTCAAGACTCTTGTTCAGTCTTTACAGGAAACTCAAAGCTATAATTACAAACAGGGATTTGGGTATGACAGACTATCTTGGGGAACAAATCTGAACCAAACAGGGAACAAATCTCCAGAACCAAAATTACAAATTCCAAAATGCTTGTATTTTTGGAAGCATCCAGCTTTAAATCTTTTTTAAAAAGATGTATTAAGCAAGAAACCGCTTTGATTTTATCAAAAAGCCTCCATTACTTCAACATCAATGCATTTGCAGAATGTACAATGTGCATCAATGAACTGTGATTCATATTAACAAATATATGAGGACAGTTGAGATAAATGCTGAGCCTAAACAAGCTAATGAACAATACACAGTTCTACCAAGTAAAGAAGACTTTAGAAGAGAGGAACTTTACCTGGCCATCTCTGCTTATTTGTACTTTCTTATTGTCATTCCAAGGGTTGAGCAAATGGTGTGCAAAATGAAAAGGAATGCTTTCTTTTTGGATCCACTCCACCTTAAATACACCTCCGAAGCCAGAAGATCCCCAGTCTTGACTTTTCTCACACCCTATCTCTGAAGCCATTCTAGCAAAACCCTGGATTAAAAATTGAAATATGAAAGGAAAGATATAACTAGAGCATATCTGCTTATGCTGGAATTCAATAAAAGACTGGACTTCATACAGAACTTTCAAATTTGTTTCAAAGTGATTCACACACTCTCGTCCATAAAGCTCGATCTTTTAAGATGTTCACATCTATAAAGTTAAAAGAAGTTGAGACAAGGGGAGTCAAAAGAATCTCAGTAGGCATAATAAATGGGGATGAAAGATGATGTTTAGTGCTTACATTGTTGAAATTAGCTGAGGTAAAGACAGTCCTTGATAAGAAGAGCTGGTCCCAAGAACCAGACAATGAGGTAGAGTCAGTCCTTGATAAGAAGCAGGAGCAGGCCCCAAGAGCCAGCTAAGACTGGTCTTGCGGCTTGGGGGAATACCAAGAAATCACTGAGCCTGCGCAAGGAAAGAGGTTACTAGCAGTGACGAAGAGGAGTCATCTATCTTCATCTCTGCGACCACCAGATGACCACCATCAAGAGGCACTGCGCAGGTGCAGGTGAGAGGAGACTATAGAAATGACCTCTCGGAGCTAATTTTAATATGAAGCGGGCATACGTCATGCATATGTATAAGCGTATTGTGAATATGTAATACCTGACTGTATAAACTTGAGGCGAACTGCCGAGTCAGGCGCGCACGACTTTGGTGGGACTACCCCCCTCCCCGTGCTGCCCAGCGCTGAATGAACATACCTCCTTTACAATCTCACTGATTGTGGAGTCTGTTTTCCACACCTCAAAGTAGCATTTGTTTTTCCACTTCAAATACGCCTTCTAGAGTTTGACCACAGAGAATGTCTCTCAATTTCTCACAATTACCATTAATAGCTTTTTTTAAGCTTTGTAACAGTTTGAAAAGGTGTTGTAAAAACATTTGAAGTGTAAGGAATCAAGATGAATGTTCTACTACATAATAGTCCATTAGCTTATTCCTTGTTAGCTGTAGATTTTTTGCAGAAATCCATCCCTTATTTCCCATGTTCCCTCTATATTAACAATTTTCACATAGAATTAAGAGAGTGTAGCTGTTCTTCAAAGAAGGAAGTCAAAGTTGCTTTCATTTCTTTCTTCAATGAAGCTGGAAGAAATTCCAACACAACAAGTATTCAGAAAGAAAATGAAAGAAACCCCAAATCCCAGGTTGCTTGTAATTTATTTAAGAACACCCCTACTTGCCCACACACCAAACAAAAAAAACAACTACACATGCAATTTATCAACCATTCAGGCAAATTTATGCCAGTTATGACTTAGGAGTTCAAGAGATGCAGTGCAGTATATAACTTACAAGCACACACTACTGTTATAAGGCATGTAGTCCTAGATAGCTCAAGCCAGACTTAAATGGAAGTTAATAAAAGGAACAGAGGAGAAATAAAGGTGGAAAGTAAAAAGACAATTGGTACAAGAGAATATTAATAGC